TCCACCGAGAGCTTAGGCATCAGCGGACTGTTGGCCAGAGCGCGCGGTATACTGAAGAACGTGGACCAGACCCTGAACATCACGAAATACATGACCAAAACGGTGGCCACGAATATGGCGAACCGGGCGCACGACTTGCGTTCATCCAAGTCTGAGATGACTTTAAACCAATTCAGCGCAAAGACCATCGAAGAGGTGTTCCACGAGAGGGACGACGGCGACGAGGACACCACCACCACGTGCTGCACAAACCGGCCGTTAGTTCCGGAACGGGAGGCCAAGCGGTGGTTGTCGCAGATCCTCCGGTGTTTACAGCATTTGCACAAATTGGGGGCCATTTACGTGGACCTCAAGCCCGAGAACATACTGCTCGACGAGGACAGCAACGTCTGCGTGTCCTATAAGTGCTTTTGGAGCGAATCGCACGTACATGTGATCGACGAGTGGGCCCGCGAGCGCCTGTACGTGGCGCCGGAGCTCATCAAATCGGGCGCCAAAGTGAGCCATTTGTGCGACTGGTGGTCGTTCGGCGTCATCGCCTTCGAGCTGCTCACCGCACGGGTCTGTACTACCGGTGCTCCGAGTGTTTTGTGTCGAGATCTCTAATAGAAATTGTATTTCATTTTTGTGTCCAGTCTTTGGTCTCCTATTACCCAAACGGCATCACAAGCCATACGTCACTGTATTTCCCGGTATTCATATCACTGGAGGCCAAGGATCTCATCAATAAAGTGATTATATTTTGCTTTTTTCGTGTGAATTAAATAGCGTTTGAATTGGAAATTAACGCAATTTTCTGACAGCTATTACAACCGAATCCAAGCGAACGTCTCGGTAGACACGGCTCCGAAGAGATCACAACACATCCATTCTTCGAGGGTATCAATTGGACCAACAGTTGATCGGAAAAGCGACAGACAATTAGCCATCAAATCAAACCACTCATCCATACAATCGCTATACCATTGAATACTAGCAGTATTTTTCTCATTCCCATCGCATTCATAGAGTTTTCATATTTTGTTTCGGCGATTGAGTTACGAATTCTCGTTAAGATTTGTTTCAACAACAAAAATGTTATGAAGTTTTTATGAGTTTATTATGCAATCGATACGCGTTTTACTCATTGAATTATTTTCTTTACGTTTTCATTGTTTAATTTATTTGGCGTTTCATTTGTGATATACTATTATATATATAATATACCGTAAAACGAGAGCTGAGTTTCATTACGATAGTCGAGTCGTGAGAATTAGAGATTCATTGAATTCAATGGTGTTTTTCTTAAGACAATGATTTTTACTCAACAAATAATACGAATAAATATATTAATATAAAACTGATTGACAAATATATTTCGCAAATAATAACTAATTGATGGGAAAACCCATCAAAAAATTGTGTTCAAAACTATCAGCGCTTTTATATACCTATTGCTCGCGACTAGACATCACTCGTAAGGTCACTGCAAAACAAACGCTAAAAACACTACAAAAACAACTCATTTCTATCGTAAAACTCA